ACTCAACAAGTGCCAATTCTACAAGGAAGGTTATTCATAGCATTAAATAATAGGGGTGGAGTTTTCATAACAATAATGAATGGTGCATAAATACTTAACACATTTCAGCTTTAATCATTAACAGCTGAGCCAGCTGGCACCTGCACCTGTAATGTAATCCTAGCTACTTGGAAAGCTGAGGCAGGAGGATCACAAGTTTGAAGCCAACCTAAGAAACACAATGAGAGCCCATCAACCCCCTCCAAAGCAAGAGAAATAACCAGTTGCCTTCTTATTATTATTTTTGCACTTAACCTTTGTCCTCCCATTAGCCTTAAAGCTTTTTTTTTTTTTTTTTACCTTAAAGTTTTTAACAGTAAGTCATTCTCTTTCAACTCTGAATTTCTGTGTCTCCCAAAAGTACCTAATACAAACTTGGAGTTCTGCTGAGTCCACAGGCAGTGCGGGTTTGAAAATCCCCATGAGCTTTCCTGAGCATGTGCCTCATCTTCCTCTCCCTTGGGGGGTGCCTTTAGTCCCTGGTTCTTAGTGATACCATCTCTCTCCAAGGCCCCAAGGAAGCTGGTGGATCAGATTAGGTAATTTTAGAGTCCAGTGGACAACACACTCTGCTTGGAACTTCTCAGCCTTTCAGAGAACAAGTTCCTCTGATAGTTATCCGAGTGGTCGAGAGCAATGATGGCAACCCTTTTAGAGCTTGCAGTGATACAGACAACTGCTGAGGCATGCGTGCCATTGGTTTCACCACCACTGGGACAGTTCAAGAACACATGCGTGTATGCATGGCCCAGTCCTGGGGACTGAGCTCGGCGAGTTCGTGCTGAGCTACATCCTCAGCCATGAGGTAAGGTTTGGCTAAATCACTAAGTTGCCCAGACTGCACTCAAACTTGCAATCCTCCTGCCTCAGCCCCCCAGAGTGCTAGGATTATAGGTATGTACCACAATGCCTGTTTTGTGTCCTTAAGAGCAGGTCTCTGAGCCATGTTTCTTACTCCTTGCTAAACAAGTGAAATTTCTTTTTAATGCAATGCTGTCCTCAGGCAGCAGAAGGTAGGAAGGGTAGGAAATGGTGTCTGCAGACCATGGTAGTGTAGGCTGCTTCTTACTGACACGTAATGGGTTTGGGGTTTTAGGTACTGAAAATAAAGATTACACACAGGCTGAGGATACCACTGCATGGTGTTTACCTGCTCTGCTGTAAAGCTGACTCCCTGGTTTTGCACAAGTGTGTCTGCAGCTGCAGAGGGTGAATGGCGACAGCAGGAAACTGTCACATAGCCTGAGTCCAGTCCCTTCCACCTTGGTGCAGATGCCTTTTTGAAAGACTTTGATATGTTACATAAATACCCCATGTTTTTAATTCTTAGATTGTTGCAATTCTATACATTTTTTATTTCAGGTAAATTTCCTAAGTGTTGATCTTTTACATTTTTATTATGTTTATAATAGTTCTCTAAAGTCTCTAAAGTGGGGTTCACTGAGTTATAATAAGAAGATGAATATAAATTGTGTGTCCTGCATGTTCCCTGGTAAGCCAATCCAAGGCACTCCAAAATACACTCGCTGTCTTTTGGGGTAAACTTGTCAGGGGTTATCAGATACGTATAATAGCTAAATTTTAGCAAGACATCTGATGAAGTCTATCCTGATGGAGTTTTTGTTTTGGTTTGGTTTGGTTTTTGTTTCATGTACTACTGAGGATTAAACACAGAACCTTTGCCCTGAGTTATATCCTCCACCCTTTTTTATTTTTTTATTTTGAGGCACAGTCTCACTGAATTGCTTGGGCTAAGCCAAAACTTACGATCCTCAGCCTCCCCAAGTGCTGGGGTTACAGGCATGTGCCACAGCAGCTGTCTGTTGTGATGTTCTTGAAGATGAGACTCTATGGACAAAATGGTGCAGTTAGAAGGATTCCATAACTGAACAATGTGTAGGACCGAAGAAACCTGGTTAATGGATTGTTGAGAGCAGTGAGAGAGAGTTGGGGCAGGAAGTGAGCTGGATTGGACACTCTGTGGCTGGTGGACATTGTTAGTAATTGCTGCATACACTGAGGTTTGCCCAGCTTCTGTTGGATGCCGGTTGTGTCCTCTGGAAAGCTGAGTCCTATGACTCTTCCCAGTCAGCGCCACCCCTCCCCATTACTACCGCCGTATCTCCTCAGTGCTCTTTAAGCCTTCTTCTTTCTACCCATTCTTGGTCCATTTTCTGCTGTTAGAATACCATAAACCAGGTAATTATCAGCAGTCTAAATTTATTTGACTTACAGTTGTGGAGGCTGAACTCCAAAACCAAGGGACCATGTCTGGTTAGGATTTTTGTGTCACAGCCTGGCAGGAGGACAAGGAACATGCACAAGACAGAGAGGAGTGGGCAGGAGTGGGTCGGATTCATAAAAAACCCACTCTCACAATAACTGACCTCATCCGCAATAAGAGCATTAATGTGTTCTGGAGCCCAGAGCCCTCATAGCCCAATTTGGCTCTTAAAATCTAACATTTGATGGAGGGGAGACTGGGGCTCACACCCCGGGCTTCTTGCATGCTAGGCAAGGACTCTGCCGCTGAGTCCTAGCCTCTAGCCCTGTTTCTTTTCATTTTGAGACATTTTTCTAAGTTGCTACTCAGGCTGGCCTTGAACTCACGATTTTTGACCCCCAGCCTCCCAAGTAGCAGGGATTACAGGCAGCTCCACTGCACCCAGCCCACCTCTTAATACAGTTACAGTGTAAGTTACATTTCAACATGAGATTCAAAGCATGGTGCCTTCTTCAGGCCCTCACCATTGCTGTCTTAGACTAGACTACTACAGGACTGTAATCTTTTTTGTACGAGGAATTCAACTCAGGACCTTGCATTTGGCAGGCAGGCACTGTGCCACTGAACTGTATTATTCCTGACCCCTACAGTACTGTAAGCTTTCATCCGATCTCCTTGCTCTGATTTTGCCCTGCTCAGGGGCATTCCCTGGCCTGCAGAAGAATGTCCATGTGCCTTCACACAGCCTGGAGGATCCCTGATTTCAGCCACACCTCTCCAGCCTCACCGCCTGCTGCTGCCCACCTCTGTTGTAGGCTCTGATGCTGCCAGGTGGCCTGCAGCTCCTTTGTTGTCCTAGTGGTCCATGCCTCTGAGCCTTTGCAGAGCTGGCCGCTCTAACTTCGATGGTCCCAGTACATTCATACCTGTCTTCCCGCAGAGCTTCAGTTTATCACCAGAGTGAATCACTATATTGAAATTGGCTGTTCACATTAGACCATAAACTCCTAGAGGGCAGTGATGCCACATGGGGATTGAACCCATGGCCTTCTACCTGAGTACATCCCCAGTCCTTTTTTTTTTTTTTTTTTTTTGAGACAAGGGCTCACTAAGTTGTTAACTTTACCCAGCCTGGATCCACACTTGCAGTCCTCCTGCCATACTGCCCCAGAGTGCTGGTATCCCAGGCATGCACTACCGTACCTAGTGGCATTGTGTTTTTTGATCAGAGCTGAGAATACAAAATGATCTCAGCAACTAAAAAGGCAAACCACAAAACTTAACGAAAAGATAAAGTTTAACAAGGATATACGTGAGTTTAAAACCAGGCAGGAAAACAGGTCTCAACCTAAGGCCTGAGTACAGGGTGGGAGACAGGTGATTCATCCCCTCAGTAGAATGTGTAAAAAAGCAGGGCTGTGGTTCCCGCTGACTTCATGCACATGAGTCAACAGGGTGACCCGTCACCTCATGTTCGGAGCATGAAAAGTTAATAGTCCTTCCAGCCAGGCCATGCAGGAGTCACGATCCATTCTATGGGCCATACCTTAACCCAACTCTTGCGTAGTAAAAAAGGACAGCTCTCCGCCTGCTTTCATGTATTTTTACATAAATGTGCTCTTTGAGGCTGAAGCAAATCTCCCTGGTTTTTCAATGTGAAAATAAAATATAAAGACTGTTCCTAGAAAGCTGGGTATGGTTGTACTCATCTGTAATTTCAGCATTCAGGAGACTGAGGCAGGAGGATTGCCAGGAGCTGTAGACCAGCCTGGGCTACTGAGAGAGTTTAAATCCGCCACTATATAGCAAGACTAGGAGAAAAAAATACCCTCTTTTTGGAGTTATTTCTAAACAGAACTTATCTCTCATCTTAATGTAGACATAAAGATGCGTGATATTTAGTAATTTTTTGTGTGTGGTAAATTGCAAAGCATAGCATATTGATGGAGAACTATAAATGAAGATACCACTATTAAAAACAAAATACTATCAATAGGATGGTGTCTTTGTTTCCAAAGATTTGATGTACTAGAGCCATGCAAAAATAGTAGTAGTAAAATATTTTGTGGAAAACTCCGGGAGTAAGGTTAGAGCTGGAATCTGCACGTGGTGATGGGGTAAACCCTGGAGCTTCAAGTGCTGCCTCCAAGTACTGTATTCTCAAGGCAAATAGGAAGCAGAGATGAGGCGTGTCCAAAAGAACACGATGAGAGAAGTGGAACCCCATCACCTGGGGGAAGAAGTAGGGATGGTTCACCTAGGAAAGCCAGGGAGGGTGACAGTGTCTTCAGAGGCCTGTGGAGGTGTCACTGGCTGCCTCAGAAAGGAAAACGAGGTCAGTGAGTGGAAGCTCCAAAGAGAATTTGAAAATGAGACCTCCTGACAGTAGAGTAAGCTGTCTTGTGAGCTCCGGGCTAGTGTGCTGTAGAAGGAGTCTGAGCCCCAAAGGAAGCTTGAGCTTCTCTTCTGGTCCCCTCTGAGGCTTGGTGATTCAGAGGTCATGAATGTATACGTACGAATGCCCAGTGAGTACACCGGGAACACATTTTCTGATGGTAATACCTTTATCCCTCTGGTTGAGAATAAATTACTGACACAGAAATTGTTTCGGGGCCTAGAAAACCTTAGTGTGCTACTGTGTTGTTTGTTTGCGACCTACTTGGAAAAAGACAGCTGATGGGTCCGCTGAGTGAAATAAAATGCTTGCTTCTTCCCTTTTGCTGTTTTTGCTTTCTAGTCCTGGAGAGGCTTGGCTTCTGGGAAGAAGTCCGAGCAATCGTCTCGGGATCAGAGCTGATAACAGGAATCCCCTGTACCTTTAAGGTGCCAGGCCTGCCCCAGTACCTGCAGAGCCTCACCAAACTAGCCATTGCTGCAGACTGGGCAGCGCTGGCCAGCGCCAGAGAACAGACGAGGGATGTGCCCATCACCTTCTCGCAGCTGCTAGGCTCCTCCTTTCCTGAAGTGCGCTTGCTCACCCTGGAAGCCCTGTTGGAAAGGTTCGCAGCAGGAGGCTCTGGATCACTCTGCAGTATGGGAGAGGACTTCCTGCTGCTGGCCACCAAGGAAAGCCACCCTGAGTGTCTCTGCAAGGTAAACTCTGCTAGACCGATGGTCCTTCCACTGCCAATATCAGGAAGGCAGGATCAGGCTTGAGCTCTCTAGAGGAGCAACAAACTGGGCATCTGAAGGATAAAGACGCTCTTTGTGCGGCTGTTAGCCTGGCTTCATGCATAGAAGGACAAGGGCACTAAGAAGAGCTGTTGATGATGATGGCATTGATAGAGGAGATGAACCGAATTCAGGACTAGCCATTCTTGGGAAGCTTAAGAGACAGATCCCTTAACCTCAATCGCGGAATGTATCAGAGCTCATCTTTGTTGATGTGCCTGTTTTGGGGCAGGTGATCACCTGGAAGCGTAATCATAAGGAAGTAGAACTGGCCTAGGACTCTGAGCATCTAGCTCCAGTCAAAGGTCATTAGGTACCCACGAGTTGGTCATTGCTGTGCCCTGCCTCACTCTGTTAGAGATATTATGGGGCAATAACAAGTCAGTGGGAGCTTTTCAAAAGATAGAGCTTCAGGGGCTGGGGATTCAGCTCAGCGGCATATGCACCTGCCTTGCAAGTGTGTGGTCATGAGTTCGATCCCTGGTACCAATAAAAAAGAAAAAGACAAAAAAAAAATAAAAGAGAGATAGAACCTCTTGCCAGTGTAAGTGGTTGTTATTTACCACCTAGAGATTTCTCCCCCAGTGTTCATAAATATGTTTTCTCTGTGTTTCTGTCTCTCTCTCTCCCCCTCCCTGGACTTATCTCATGCAGATACTAAGGATTCTCCATTGCATGGATCCCAGTGAATGGCTTCCCCTCACGGAGCGTTGTATTCATCTAACCTCCAAGGAGTTTCTGACCTGGATGATGGATATTGCTTCCAATGACAGGTTTGCCCCCATCTCCTTTGTGTAGCCTAGGTGGGATGTAGGTCCCATCAGTCGTTGTGCAGTGAACCTGCTCACTATCCTGACCTAGGAGCTCAGGTCCTGTATTTCTTTTTGAGCCTCAGCATAGGGACTAGCTGTCATAAACTCAAGCAATAGAACGGTGTCAGGCCTTCATATTAGTAACCAAAGCTAATTGTTTCTAGAGGCATTTGAGTAGCCGTGACATAGAGATTTCCAAAGCATCTGTGTATAAAGTATATGTCATTTTGTGTAGTGTCTTATTTATCTTGTTACTGAGCCAAAATACCCAACACTCAAAGTTAAAAGAGGAAAGGTTTATTTCAGTTCACAGTTTGTAGAGGTTTCAACCCATAATTGGCTGGCTCTATGATGAGGTGACTTTTTAGAGGGGCATTGCAGAAGAGAAAGAGTAGGCAGCCCTCACACCCAGGGTGGGCCTTCCCCTTCTCCACACCCAGACCTGCGCCAAACCAGTCAGTGGGCTCATTTAGTAATCACACAACCTGGATCCCAGCATCATGCACTCGAGATCCAGGCACCTCTGAAAAGCCTCACCTATGACTGTGTGGGGCTTTTCAGGGAGATCTAGACACAAGCTAAGACAGAGTTGTTGTTGTTGTTGTTTTTTAATCTCTTTTTTCCCCAGATCTGAAATCCAGGGTGTGGCTCTGAGACTCACCTCCAAATTGATTGCCTACTCCATCAAAACACATGAAGAGGTAAGGCTGATTCTGTGCCTGTCCTGGGGCCTGGGCATTGGTGCTCTGTTTACCCAGAAGATGTCAATAAAAGTCAATTATTAGCTGGCTGAGGTAGTACACACCTGTAATTTGAGCTATTTGGGAGACTGAGGCAGGAGGATTGTAAGTTCAAGGCCAGCTTGGACATTAAATTTGAAAAAGAACAGAGGACTGAGAATATAGCTCAGTGGTAGGGAACTCTTGGGTTTGAGCCTCAGTGCCACAAAAACAAAAAAAAGTCAACTGTCCAAAGCAAGCAAAATCACTGTGATCTGTGTGTGTCACCTGTATAAGAATATCATTCAGGCATAGTGACCTATGCCTATGATCCAAGCACTTGAGAGGCTGAGTCAGGAGGATTGCCACAAGCTCAAAGGCCATCCTGAGCTAGATAGTGAGACCCACTCTCAAAAGACAAAGCAGAAAACAAAATAAAAACCAAAAACAAACAAAATACATATATATCATCCATGTTGATTTTCACCTGTAGGAATGACTTGGGAAGACTTTTTGAACCACCTTCTCTCTCTTCTCTCGTTTTGGGCATTTTTGGTTAGAGTCCGTGAGAGTAACATGCCCTCTCCCTGACACACCTAGCCATGGGTCTATCCCTGTTTTTGAAGCTAGAGTCTATTTAAAGAGGAATAAGCAAGTCAGTTCTAGGAATATTAGGAATTGTAACCTAGCAAACTGAATGTGAAAATAAATGGCACAGACTTTATTCCCCCAGTGCGTGACCCAGCTGGCTCTTGATGGAGTCGCAGGTGTTCCCACCTGTTCCCCTTGCCCTTCAGGGTAAAATAGAGCTAAAGGAAGCAAAGTGACCTGAGAAGACGCTGTAAGGCAGATACAGGCATTCTGAGGTGCATGTAAGGAAGATGTGCTGCCATTACAGACCAGTGAGTAGACGCTGGCCAAGACTGCAGTAAGATGACATGTTCAAGGTTTTTATTTCTGTTTGGTTTTGTTTTGTTTTGTTTGTTTGTTCATTTATTCTCTATGGTAGCTAGGATTGCAGACATGCACCCTCTGCCTGGCCACCTTGAAAGATCTCAATTCATCCCATATTGTGAAAGTGTCAGCATAACATGGAAGATTCAGAGTTCTTATTATTTTAACCTACCTGTGAGGTAATTACCAACGATGAACAGAGACTAGAGATACAGTCTAAGGAGAAAAAGAGACTCTCAGTCATTACACTGAATTCTGTACGGGGGCTCTGGGGGCTGAGGAGGAGGCAGTGTCTCAAACATATCTTTACACCTTCACACCAAGCCATCCCTTTTTTATTTTTTGAGACAGGGTCTTGCTAAATCACCAGATTATTCAGGCTGGGCTTGAATGTGTAATCCTTCTGCCTCAGTGAGACCTTAGTGAGACTGTGTCTCAAAAATAAAAAAATTTTGGCCAGGCATGGTAGCACATGCCTATAACTCTAGCACTCAGGAGGCTGAGGCAGGAGGATCACCATGAGTTCAGGGCCAACCTGAACTACACAAAGGACTCTCTCTCTCAAAAAAAACAAAACTTTAAAAAATAAAACTGTAAAAAAGACTAGGAAATGACTCAGTGCAAAAGCCCTGGCTTCAATCCCCAGCGCGCACACACACAAAAACCAACACTGCTTTGTACTTGATTGAAGTATTGTCTCATAAAAATTGAAGATTTTTGGGGAGAGGAATATGACCAAACTGTAGAAAACGCATGCAGGAAGTTCCCAGGGAAACTTGGGTCTCCTTGGGAGTAGCATCTTTCCTGAGGTCTACAGTGCTTATCAGTTGGGTTGCCACAGGTGACCAGAGGACTCAGAAGGCACATCCTGAAGAGGTTCACAAGGTGGAGGAAATGTCTCGGTCTGTTAGCTTCTGCTGCCGTAATAGAATACCTAAGACTGGGTATTTGATTAAAAAAGAAAGGGGTTTTCACAGTCCCCACGGCTTGCAAAGACCGAAAGCACACACCAGTACTGGTAGGGACCTTCTTGCTGCTTTGGGGCCTCACACAGCAAGAGAGCACATGAAAAAGAAAGACAAAATGAGACAGAGATCCGGAAGGAAAGAGAGCTGGCTCTGGTTATGGAGCCACTCCTGCCATGACTAACCCGCTCTGGAGATAATGGCACTTACCCATTCAGGTCGTGAGCACCCGCCCTCGTGACCTAATCACCTCTTGACCTAATCACCTCTTCGTGTCCCATGTAATATTGTCAGAGCAGCAATTAAATTCCAACATGACTTTGTGAGAGAACAAACAGGATGTAAAGTACATCCGAAACAAAAAAAAATCCCTTTTCTAGAAGAAATTTTAAAAAGTTGTGTAGAAGATGGAAGTAATCCAAATGTCAATCAGTTTAAAGTAGAAAAGTACTTAGCCATAAAATGCTATGTGGTACTGACTCATCCTATAGCATGGAGGAACCTTGAAAACCTTCATCCAAGTTAAAGCAGCCAGTTACCAAAGAGCATTTAACATGTGATTCCACTAAAATTAAATGTCCAGACTAGGCAATCCATAATGTACAGGGTCTCACTATGCAGTGCAGGCTGGCCTTGAGCTCACTTTGTAGCCCAGGCTGGTCTCGAACTCACAGTGATCCTCTTGCCTTAGCCTCCCAAGTGCTAGGATATAGACTTTCTCTTTATGGTGACGAAATACTGTAAAATTATTTGTTGGAGGAGATGTAGGTAACATTTACTCTAACTTGAACACTACCTAATATGTACTTACATTAAAATAATACATGTGCTCCGTAAATGTGAACAGTTTTCATGTGTCAGTTAAAATTTTTTTAAAATGTTTTTAAAAATCAAGGTAGATTTAAGGATATAGCATAGAGGTAGAGAGCTTGTGTAGCATGTGCAAGGTTTGATTCATAGCACTGTAAGGAAAAACAAGTAAATTATTTCCAAAACCATGTGAATAAGAATCATCTAAAAGCAAGCTAAAAAATAAAAATCAAGATATAAAATAATAATAATAATAAATTTTTGGTGACAGTTGCATAAACCAAAATCCATTACTTTTCCACTTTAAGTGGGTGAATTGTGTGGTATATGAATGACATTTCGATGAAACTGTTACTGTTAAAAACAGAACAGGGGTGTTTCAACCTTGTTAGGGTGCTGCTTTCAGATGAGGAAACAAGGTCATGCATTCTGTGGCTTGAACCAGATAGATGGAAGCTATCCAGCACGGATACAGTGGCTCGGCAGTGTTGCCCCAGGCCGCCTCCTCTGCGGCTCTGCAGTCTTTGACATGTGACCGCCTCCTCGTGATCTCAGGGTTAGCTCCAGCTGCCACCATCAATTTGCCCTGTTTAGCAAGCACGAGAAGGAACCCAGGAGGCAGAGATCTTGTGCAATTCCTAAGCACGTGTCAGTGACAGCCCAGGCGAATGTACTCACATGCTGCTGCTTAATGGGAGGGAGCCTGAAAAATACAGTCTTAACCGGGTGCCCACCAACCCTACCAGAAATCTGGGGTTCTATTACTAAGATACCAGGAATATCTGGTTACTGTGGGCAAGCTATCTGCTGCCAGTCTTCCCCGAAAGTTCAGTCTTTAGCAAAGCTGCGAATACAAGGTGTGGTAGTAACATACAGTGAATGTTTACGTCTTAAAAATTTATTATGGACCATCAATCCGTCTCAGAATACCTGCCCTCTTACTTTGCACACACTTTACCCATCATTCTTGCCACTTTCTGAAGCAGTTCTTCAAGTCTGCTTTTGGGAATGTCTTTATAAGGTGTAATCAAAAGTACTGTGAACGCTGCTGCCCAGTGCCACCCAGCAGAAAGGCAGGCTTGCAAAAATGCTACAGTGAGTCCTCATCCACCAGGCCTGGCGCCGTGTGGCTCCTGACTCTTCCCTAAAGTCAAAATGACGATGAAAGGTAAAGTGTTTAATGGATCCAGGACATCAAGGCAGCCATGAAAGCACAACTAAAGACACTCATGTAAGCCAACTTCCAGGACTGCTTGAGACCATGACAAGAACAAGTGTGTTCAAAGCAAAGGGGAAGGGGCTGGGGATTCAGCTCAGCGGCATATGCGCCTGCCTTGCAAGTGTGTGGTCGTGAGTTCGATCCCTGGTACCGATAAAAAAGAAAAAGACCGAAAAAAAAATTGGTTATCAAAGCAACGGGGAGTGTTTTGGAGGCGATTCATAGCAATATGTCTTTTACCACAATAAATTTTTTAAAAATATTCACCATTTTTTTTAATCGTTCCCAGATTGCAGGGTTGTGATAACCTGATATGCACAGAAAAGACTCAAGGAGCTTGCTCTTTAGTTTAGTGACTCTGTATTTCCAAAAAAAAGTCAGGTTTTCCTCATGGGCCTTGTTTATTTTACCTAGTTGGTATAGAAAAGCAGCTAAAAGCCTTCCCATCAAGGTGGAGCTGATTTGCAGGCATAGTGTGGTGTACCTCCTCCCTCTGTCAGGCCCTGGTTGCATTTAAGTTCTACTGATAGGTCCCTCTGTCCTCTCAGGACAGGGAGTCACTAGCCCCCCAGCTGAAGCGGTGGGTGCAGCTGGTCATCTTGTCCTGCGGAGACCGTCTTCCCACAGAGTCGAGGCTGGCTGCCGCTGAGGTCCTCACCAGCACCGCACCACTGTTTCTCACCAACCCCTGTCCGGTTCTTGGTAAGTGTGCTGAGGGCAGGGCCCCTTGTACCAACTCGCGAACAGCGTGAATAGATACTTTCGACCAGTGGAGGCAAACTGTGTGCTGCGGCAGGGTGTTTGTTAAGACAGAAAGCTCCAAGAGGTTCACCGTCACTGCTCTCGACTAAATGAGCAAGGAAGGTTACAGCTAGTAGCGATGCAGCACACCTTTACATCTTTCCAGTAGAGTCCTGTCTTCATTCAGAGCCGTATTTTTCACTAGCAGTCTGTTAGCCTCTTTCAGCCTTACCCACACAGCCTCTGTGGTCGTTCTGAAATGTAAATAGCATTTCAACTGATGCCAAAAACCTTGGAGGAAGTTCTTTCTGCCTTCAGGTTGGCTTCCAAACTCCTTTTCACTCCGAGGCTTATGGTCGTTTCTGGTTCCTCCTGGCCGCTCCTCCCACTTCGTCATCTACCACTCCCAGCACAGACCACTGTGTCACCACTAGGAAACAGTTCGCTATAAACAAACCACTGCTTCACTAACTTTTTGTTTGTCTTAGCTTCAGCCCATCCGTCCCCTCTTCCAGGAAGGCTGTTGCATTAATCTAGGTGAGAAAGAAAGGGTCATTATGAAGCTGTGGCAGTGAGGAAGAATGCCTCTCCCACCAAGCTCAGGCCCATGGTACGCTAGTTCTCTTTCCATCTGCTAGTACATTTTCTTTATCAGTACCATGCACAGCCCTCAAAACAAGACGTGATCCTGCCTCCAAAGAACGTTCAGTAGAGTTATGAAGAAAGAGTTCTATAATAAAAGATTATTTTTATATGATGAGATCCAAATATAAGTGTTACAAGACTTGCAGTTTTTGAAGTCGCATGTCCCTAGATCTCTCTGGGAAACTCTTTGGTTCATCTACTTTCACTCACTTCTTTTTTGTGGCATCCCACCCAAACAGGGACTGAGAGGGAGCTTCACTGTGCAGTGATCTTATATTGGATCCAGAGGAACAAGGGCAAAGGCTTATTAAACTTTGGTCAAGCCATGTACAGTGGCACATCCCTGCAGTGCCAGCTTTGGGAGGCTGAAGCAGGAGGACCAGCTGAGCGCAGGTGTCTAAGACAAGCCTGGGAAGCATAGCAAGACCTGGTCTCAGACAATAAAAAAATTCTCCAGTAAGGCCATTTTGCAGCATTTTCTGGGTGACTTTGGCCACTTTAACTTAAGCTTACAACAGGAGAAATGTATGTGGAGTAACCTGAAGCTCCCATGTGGAAATTAAAATCCAGCTGTTCATAATTAATTGCTAGTGCTGGCTGCAGCTTTGTAGAAATGGTGAGGTCAGGTGTGGTGGTGGTCTGCACCTATAATCCCAGCACTTGAAGGGAGAGGCAGGAGGACAGTAAGTTCAAAACCATCCTGAGCATTTTAGCAACTTAGACTCTCTCAAAAAATAAAAGAGCTAGGGCTGTAGCTCAGTGCAATTCCCACAACTAGGAGAAAATTATGGAAGAGATCAGTTGTGGCTGATGGTGCACGAAAACATGTAAAACACACTGAGTGACAGATGACATTAAAGTGCACGGAGAAAAGATGAAATGGACAAAAGAGGACAGGATCTGAGAGGTATAAATGATCATACTAAAAAGGAAAATGTTGAGAGAGGAAAGTAGGCTACTCTAGACAGCACTTAAAAAGGACGGATTCTCAAAGACTGCATAAAATTTGAAGGCAGATCTAGAGCAGAAAGGAGAGAACAGAATGCCCAGTGGAGGCTTTGCCATTCTTGACTGGACTGAAAACCAACAGCTGAGAGTGGAGGAGAAGGAGAGTGGCTGAAAGAGTTCGCAGGGATGCTAGGTGCTGGTCTGGGTGGTACCCTGCCACAGCCCTTCACTGAGACCTCTGCAAGCCTGAGCCACCCTGCTGCGTGACAGGAGTCCTGCCTGACACCGACTCCTTTCCCTCTCTTTGTGATATGCATCCCAGCTGCAGCAGTCGCCTGTCATCCCAACCCCCATCTGCATTAGTGACTACTAGAAGGGTCTGTTAGAACAGAGACTGTTCTAGACTGTGCACCCCTGCCTGTCACACAGGGGCAGAGGCTGCCTTTCCTGCTTGTCATCAGCAGCATCACTTAGCACAGGCCAACTGACAGAGCTGGTACCCAGGGGAAATTGCCGCAGACAGTGGGCCTCTGTGTCCATGTGATGCAGGCTGGCGCCTTGTTCCGGGGCCCTTCGCCTTCTTTGAAGCATGATCTTGATTGATACTTGGCTTTCAGAACTGAGAAGCTGACACTGTCACTCCAGTTCACACCGAGCCAGTTTCTATGAAGCCCAGTTTCATGCTTGGGAGTCCTGACACCAGACAGAACTGGGCCTAGACCTTTTCAGTGTCCAGAAAAAGAGGACAGTGGAGCTCACTCATGTTGCTTTCCTGCGCTGTGGACTCAGAGCAGGATCTGTACCTACTCGTCCACTGCGCACTGGCTGATTTGAATTCCTTTTGGTCTTCTTAGAGTTGCAGGACACACTTGCTTTGTGGAGATGTGTCCTCATCCTCCTTCAGAGTGAAGAGCAAGCTGTACGAGATGCAGCCACAGAAACCGTGACAACAGTCCTGTCACAAGAAAACACCTGCCAGTCAACAGGTACCTTGTTCTCATCTTTAGCATGATGTTATTGTTGCTGTAGGACAACAGTTGCAGGCCTTCCTATAAGTAACAGGTAGATTTTGTTGGCCAGTCAGTCTCTGTACCAGCACTGCCATTTCAGTGGAAAAGCAGCCGTAAACAGTAAGTAAAATAGCTGAGCAGAGTGGTGCATAACTGTATCCCAGCTACTTGGGAGACAGAGACAGAAGAATCCCAAGTACCAGCCCAGCCTGGGCCACCTAGGAAGACCCCCTCTCAAAATAAAAACCAAAAAGGGTACTAGGTGTAGCTCAGTAATAGAGCATTCCTGGGTTCAGTTTCCAGAACCACTAAAAAGGAAAAAAAGTAAATAATGGGCATAATGTGTTCCAATAAAACTTTATTTACAAAAATAGTAGTCTTTCCAGATTTGATCTACTAGCCATAATTTGCTAGCAGACATCCTAGAGGAAATTTGTTTGTGAAAGTAGAAATTTAATAGTGTTCAGTCTTTTGTTAATTATATTGTCATCTGTTTTAAATAAGGCTGTCTTGATTCTCTGTGTGGTTACATAACCCAAGAATAACAAATCTGTCATTTTGTTCCTGTGTGAGGGTTTGCCTATGACCAAATCATGACCATATACAAGTTTGATTTCTTTTCTTTGTGCTTTGGCTGTGATTAATAAGCACATTAACACAAGAAGCAGGATAGGTGTAGAAAGCGGAGCCAGTGCTTCTAGACTCAGATCTGCAGTCTGAGCTGTCACAGCCGTGGGTTGTAGGGCTGTCTTGTATGCTACAGAAGGGAACTGGCCTGAGACTAGAAAATGGGCTGCTGGAGGGAAGGGACAAGAAATAAGGGGAGTAAAAGCACAGTCACCCCTCTGTCCAGTGGCCATCTGGAGAATGACAGTGTTGGTGCATGGCCTGTGCCCAAGGATGGGGGTCCAGAGCGGTGTCCAGGTTGGCTGGTCCAGTGAAAAGAAAAACACTAGTCTGAGGCAGGCTCACAAGCTGAGCAAAGAAGTCTCCCGCAGCAGCCAGCCAGCTGGGAGAAGAAGCCGCCAGCCAGTGTGTGTAACTGATTCAGAGCCCAGGGGAAGGGGTAGAGACAGGGCACTGGGCAGTGCTCACTGGAGGAACTCTAGGGTATGGGACCTTCCTGGTACCTGAGTCCCCAGCCATAATGGTTGCTCTGCTTTTTTTTTTTTTTTTTTTTTTTTTTTTTTGTCTTTTTCATTTTTATCGGTACCAGGGATCGAACTCACGACCGCCTGCTTGCAAGGCAGGTGCTTATGCCGCTGAGCTAAATCCCCAGCCCGGTTGGTCTGCTTTTAAGAAGCAAGTTTTGGGGCTGGGGATTTAGCTCAGCGGCATAAGCGCCTGCCTTGCAAGCAGGCAGTCGTGAGTTCAATCCCTGATACCGATAAAAAACGAAAAGACAAAAAAAAAAAGCAAGTTTTGCACAATCTGTAAGTGGTTCAGCTCCAGGGCAAGTTTAGTCTCTCCATAGGAAGATACACAAACTGACCATGTACATGTCATGTTGGGTCCCCCTGAGCCTCTAACCAGACTCCTCCATATCCAAAATTCTGTTCTTACTGGCGTATTCTTTTTTCTAATCGCTGGTTTTCCTCAGAAGGATACTAAGAAGCACCCAGCAAGTACTCAGTAAATTGTTAGTGAAATATAATACTCAATAGATTTCTCCAAGATTCTCTCCACCAAAGGAAGGAAAGAATTTCATAGTTCACAGGTGAATTTTTTCCCTTAATCTTTTATATATAGCCATTGCCCTACTACTTTTTTTTCTTTCTGAGGTTTTCTAAGTTCATTTACAGTAAAAATGTGTTACCATATTTACCCTTCTCCTGGTTTGGTTTGGTTTGGTTTGGTTTTTGAAGGTATCAGCTGGGCATGGTAACACATGCCTATAATCCCAACACTCAAGTGACTGAGGCAGGAGTATCACCAGGAGTTCAAGGCCAGCCTAAGTTGCATAGTGTATTTAAGGCCAAACTAAACTACATAGCAAGACCATGTCTCAAAAAAAAAAAAAAAAAAAAAAGCAAGCTGGTGGGATGGGGAGAAACAAAAATCCGTAATTCTAGGTTGAGTGTCATCTGCATGTAAAACTCCACATGTGCAGCTCTAAAAGAATTTTTAAAATGTACGATCCTGCTTATCTACTTTTGTATTCTTCATTTTGGTCTTAAAAAAGGAATTCAGATATGAAAAGAGAAAAATTTGCTAACAACTAAATGTAGTTCAGTTGGACTAGACCCAGCACTGTTGGAGGAAAGCCTTGCAGGAGACTATTAGCACAGCCAGCCATGTTGGACTGGTGTCCGTAGACTGAAATTGGTGTGACATTTCCTGATTTTGATAACTGTACTGTGGGGTTTTTTTGTTGTTGTTTTGTTTTTTGTCTTTTTCCTTTTTATCGGTACCGGGGATCGAACTCATGACTGCCTGCTTGCAAAGCAGGTGCTTATGCCGCTGAGCTAAATCCCCAGCCTCTGTACTGTGGTTTTATAAAAGTATAATTTTTATTATTAGGAAGTATACACTGAACTACTAAGGAACAAAAGACAACACCTGAAACTTACTTTTATGGTTCAGAAAAAGTAACAATATATGTGCACAGAAATGTTAAACACAAGTAGAGTTGCTAACTTGCATCTTTTCTATGTGCATGAAATTGTTCATTGTTTTTAATATATTTTTACTGGAAAAGACTAAAACAATAAATATTGATAGACTGTCTGATTGGTTTATCAGTAAGTAATGAAGCCCTTGGGGTGATTTCTTTATAAATTGTCCTACAATGTCTTGCCTCTCCCTTAAAAAAAAAAAAAACTCGTTTTGAGTGAATGTATCCAGAAAATCACATTGCCCCTGGATTCTGTACCTTTGAAGGTGTCCGTTCATCACAGCAAGGTGGTGTTTACTCAGCACCTCCCACTGCTCTCTGCTCCACCTTAGTGACGCCCAGACTCCCCGGTACAGCTTGATTTTCATAAGCATAGAATACAAACCTTTCTGTTGTAGACTGAAAGGCAGCTGACGTTTAAAAATCACTCCCTGGCTTTTGGCTTTGGTTGGCTGAGCCAGCCGATGCTCCCAAGCAGTATGGTCCTGTTTCAACATAGCCAGGATGCAAAGCAGCTGCCAGTAACATCCCACCCCTTCAGTCTGCAAGGATTTTGTAGAATATACTGCTGATGGCTTTCTCTTGACATTCAGGTCACTTAGCCTAGTGGATTTTACATGCCATAAGAATACCCGTCATTTATTTTGTCCCCTAAATCCAAAGTTTAATAAATGCTACAGTAAAATAATATCATTGTTATATTACTATTTAATGTCTCATTTGAGAAGTCAAATTTACAATAAAAACATTAAAATAAAAATTCTTACTTTTCCACCAAAGACAAAAGCCTGCAGCCCTCTGTGTCTCCTGTGTAGTGAATGTGGGCCGGATGCAGACAAGAAAGAACTGTGCACTCAAACTATCCTCTGACAGCCTTCCAGGGAGCCGGGGAACATGTTGGGTACATTCTTACTCTGGGGTCTCAAGGATGAGAGCGTGGAGCTGTCCAGAGGATGCAATAAGTAGGCACAAAAAGAGGCTAGAATGAGGAAAAGGCTGGAGGCGCAGGGAACCCTGGAGCTTCTGGGACAGCAGTGCGTGGACACTTGTGATCAGAAGCTGTGTGAGGCTAAGAAAGAGCAGAGATAAACCCAGGAAGGCAGGGAAGACTGAGTTCCAGCAGCTCAGTCTGTAGGTGAGGGGAGCTGCAGAGGGCCCTAAACACAAGAGTGGCTTTATGAGGCGCAAGGTGGGAGGGCTGTCTCTGGGAGCAGCGTGTGATATAGGCCAGGGCTAGGTGAGCGAGGACAGTCTTGGGGCAGGTTGTCCTCAGGAGTGACCATCAGTGGTAAAGGGCAGAGAAGAGGGAGTTGGGGAGCCTCAACAGACTTGGGGTGTGCGGCTTGGGGGACCTGCACAAGAAGAAAAGTGCAGGATGACTTTAAGGCTTTATGCTGGGAGGCACTAAAGAAAAAGCAGTTGCTAGGCCTCGGGCACTGATGCAGAGTTGAGCTGTGGCATTCCAGGAAATGGTGCTACCAGGAAGCAGGGAAGGCACTCAGACCACAAGGCACTGTGATCCAGGACAGAGTATTCTTCAGGCTCTGGGTAGATCAGCAGTGGAAGCTGAGAGGCCAAAGGGGGGACTTTATCGGTGGTGGGAACAGATTGAGGTGTCCAGGTTGTGTCCTGCCCTCTCTGGAACACAGCCCAGTTAGCTAAAAGCCCATCCTTCACAGGACTGCTCAAGGGCTGGTGCCCTGGCTCTACCTCCTGGAGAGCCAGCATCAAGGCACTGGTTCACACTGCATCACCCTGGCATATCATTTTGCATACAGTTGGCTCTGAGGATGGATTTTTGTAGGAGGGATTGGTTAATGATTCTAGAAAACCTGGTGAAAATAGCTCCATAGTCAAATAGCCCCCAGGGGAGGATGTTGTTCACTTCTGTGTCTACTGGGTTCCTGCTGTCCTGCCCCCGGCTGCATCCTACCTGGGTCACCTGCAAGGTCACCAGAAACAAGTTTCTGTGCAGTACCTGCAACTCCCTACCTTTTTAAGTAAGGACTTAAGGGAGGCCGCACAGCAGCCCCCTCCCCATATTACTCTGTGCCAGCCCCAGAGTACACAGAGGGGCAGAGGAAATGGCCTTTCTAGGCCTCCAGAGTAAGGGGATGAAATCTGCAGGTAGGAGGCACGTGTATGGGCAGGAGTCCAGGGGAGGTCCCCCTTTCTCTCCTTCAAGTTGACTCCAAATCTTGAAACATACAGAAACCAGTTCTAGTTCAAGGCAGGAAACACTCAGCCTTCTCTACAGCTCCGTGCCATCTCAGCCGAGTATCTCACTCATGCCTGTTTTGTGTGCCATAGTGGGTTTAGTGTCACAGTGCATTTGAACAGGGCCCTCCATGTGGGCTGCAAA